TGAATGACCCAGGTCAAGCTCACTTTTTTGTGTCTTTTGACTAGAATTCCTCCAGAAGTCTTTCACAATCCCTGTACACCTCTCCACATCACAGCCTGGCTCTGAGTGCTGCCTCGGTCCTTGGGCTTTTCTGAAAACAGCTCTGTCCATTTGTAGAGAGCCAGGGGTTCTTTACCCCTGGCTTTGGGGCATTCTCAGTGTCATCCCGTCAGCTTTTCTAGATGATGATCTGTTCTGTTTGCAGATATCCAAGGATGGAAGAGGATTAGAGGAAAGGGAAGACCAAAGTGGTAACTCAACCCCTCAGTCCTTTAGATCTTCCAGTTCAATTCAGGAAATAGTTATTAAAGTGCCTAGACTGGCACTTGATGAGGACGACAGGCCAGCGACTTATAAGGAAAATAGCCTCTGGGCATAGAGTAGGCACAGCCTGTCACCAAGCGGGGCTCCAGTGACTGGTCCCAGCCCTGCTATTCTCCCCTCCCTGCAGAGCTGTGCTTCCCTCCCTGCCTGTTTCCAGTACCTCCAACCTCTTCCCAGTCCCATCCTGCTGCATGAAGACCACCCAGTTTTCAGGGCTCAGCTGCAGCAGTGCCTTCCCAGTGTAGTAACACTGCTAACGCACTCCTCCCCTCCTGCAGAAGTGTTCCCTCCCAACCCTGTGTCTCTGTGTATGAACGCATGTCCCAGCTGCCTTCTGCAGCGCTGACTTCATACATTTCCACCTCCTACCTGGAAAGGGGTGGATGGAACAACCACAACATCTCTTGCCTCTTTGTTTCTGGGTCCAGTGCTGGGAACACAAGGAGGCACTGAAATGTCTATTGGACGAATAAATAAGTAATAATTACTTGTGCACTGCTTTTCCACCCCTACATGCCTAACCTGAAAGTGCCATGAACTGTTTGTCTCGCCCCCAGCCATCAACAGTTTATGTGCCCCTAGGAGATGTCCAGTGAATGAAAATGACTGATTGGCTTTCCCTCCAGATGCTGTTGCATCCTTGGACCTAAGGACAGGATTATCCATCTCTTGTCCCAGCATTGAAGAGCCTAAGCCTGAAGACTGGGAGCTCTGCTTTCACCACCCCAGAGCTGTGGTGAATCAGCTAGAGCATAATCTGCAGAAAACAAATTGTTGAGCTTAAGGAGACCTCCTGTAATTTCAGAACAGGGAGTTATCAAGTCATCTTTGAACAGTGCCTTCCTAGAGACCCGATGTGGCACTTACCTTTGTGAATCTCCAAGCCCACCTTTGCTTCCCACCCTTGGTCTCATTTGCCTGAAACTGAATATCCATCCAGTAACCCAGAAAGCATGAGACTCCAGACAGAAATATGTAATGTTAGTTTTTATTTTTTGCCTCACTTCATTGGTTAAATTTTGCCTCCAAAACATTCTTTAAAACTAAAAACTATTTTCCAATTTCTGGTTTTCTCTCCACTCTTCAGTATATGAAGAGGCAGAAGTTGGGGTGACGGACAAAGGACTTTTAAAGCAGACATTTGAGATGAATTGACATTAACACCTTGGTTTGGGCTCCATAGAATCTGTATCTGCTCTGAAGGTGTTTGTCCATCTTGACTTTGTCAGCAGCGGTGTAGTGGGTTGTAGGCTTCCAAGTAGGGTAATCTCTTGGGGACAGTTTTCTGCTTTAAGGGAACTTTGCTGGAGCTAAGGTCGGAGTCTTCACAGGCAAAGGCCATTTCTCTAGTTTTCCAGTTCAAAACGCAGATGTAGCAGTGTAGGTTCGCAGAACAGAAAGATGCTTATCACTGACCTCTAAGAATAATACAGGAGAGGAGTTGCTGACTGCTTTTGGCACAAGTTGGAAAACATGGTAAGGCTGAAAACCACATTGACATCATTCATTCAGTAAGCGTTTACTGAGTGAATCCCTGCTGTTCACGAGTGCCCAGTGCGAGGCACTTGGATCACCAAGATGAATACAAGAGCTTTGCTAAAGAGTTCTTGGGAAAAGGGAGGCACACACCGAAACAGATAATTACAAAACCTGGGACGTGCCATCAGGGGAGAATAGTAGCTTGAACAGAGCCTGAGAAGGCTTCAACAAGATGAGCGCTTTCGAAGAAGAGAACAAGGGAGAACGCTCTAGATGGAGATCAGTAATTGCATGTGCAAACAGAAAGAAGCTCAAGGGACCTCATTTGCATGTGGAAGGCTAGGGAAGGGAAGTGGCTCCTAATCAGGCCTGGTGTGGGGCCCATGAGAGCCTCGGCGAGACAGTGCCCACCAGAGTCACATGTGTACCTCTTCTCTGAGGTCCCGTGGTGGGTGACTGGCTCTGGTCACCAAACCTTATTGTGGGGTCCGACCTGCCTCTTCTGTACCCCAGCCTGCCCTGCAGATAACCTATCTTCTCACATCATCCAGAGATGACCTGGTGCTCACAGCCCTGCGAAGCCTCCATTTTTAGAAGCTTTGCAACAGAAACTAATTAGAGAAATAGGCACTATGGGATACTTTGGGAGCTTTTTTTTTTATTTTAATGAAAGTGATACATTTGTCCTCAAACCAAGCAATTAAAGGAAAAGCATCTGTTCTAGCTTCCCCAGGGACTTGACCTTTGAAATCTTTGTGACAGAGAAAATTACTTGGGGAAAAATAGACATAAATATCTAAGAACTGCTTCATATTTGAAAAACTAGGAAAATTTAAAGGCATTAAATTCTCATGAAAACTTTACTCTGTTAATTTTGAGTAGGCCAGACACAGAGCTAACTCAGCAAGTCCCCACCACCTTTCTGGGGTGCCAAATGAAAAGTTCTGTGTGTTCTTTTCGGAGGCACACAGGGTATCTTTCTTGCATCCAGAGACCGAGAGGCTTAGGTGCTTTGTACCCCATGTCACCCTGATGTGTGTCCTCTTGGCTTAACTATGGAGCAGCTGATTTCTGCACGTGAGTGATGAAGAGGCTTGCTGGTCCTCATCTCTCTGCTCAGAATCAGGTACATCAGCTCATAGGAAACACATCCAGGCCTCGCAGCAACAGGTCGAGAGCACCACGTCTGTGTGCGTAACTCTGCGTCTCACCACATCACCCTCCAGTTCATTGGGTATTTCCTGTCACTGAGACTTTTTGGAGAGAATTTATTGTTTTTATGATTTCACCCAGTGCTTGCTAACCCTCCGCTCCCCACCCCGCCCCATGTATGAACATGTCCCCTCCCCTCCTCTGTACCACTGCCCCATGGAACGTTCTCCCTCCCCAAGCAGAGATACATTCCTGATGTCTCTGTACCCCCACTTCACCTGGGGCTCAGTCTCCGGAGATCAGGAGCAGGCTCAAGCTACCGCTCATGTGACTTTGCTTTCTTTGCCCGGCATGTACCTGTCCTCACTCATACCCCTGCGCTTCCTCAGAGAACAGATCTTTACCTGAACTAGGTTTTATGCCTTCCACCAAACAAGCTGTGAAGCGGCGCATTCTTGCTCTCAGAGGACCGTGGCTGCAGAATTCTTAAGCATCCCTGTGGCTTACCTGAAGCTTTTCTTCATCCCCCAGGTTTTGGGAGCATGCAGAAATCTTCGGGGATCATCTGGGGAGGGTTTTAAGCACCTTCACTGGCCTGGAGCTTCAGATCCATTCAAGCAGAGCCCACACAGGGAGCCTGAGCTCATCACCTGGGGGCAGTAACATGCCTGATGGAACCCCTGCTTTCCAAACCTTTTCTAAGTCTTATTTTTTTTTCTCTTTCTCTTTTATTATTAAGTAGATCAATGAGTATTTAAAAGTGTATTTAAGTGGGGAAAGGAGAGGGTGGGACAAATTGAGAAAGTAGCACTGAAGCATATCCATTACATATCCAGGTATATGTATATCCAGGTAATAATAAGCATATCCAGGTAAAACAGATGGCTACTGGGAAGTTGCTGTATAAACACGGGGCTCAACCTGGTGTTCTGTGACAACCTGGAGGGGTGGGATGGGGTAGGGGGCAGGAGAGGGGTGTTCAAGAGGGAGGGGAACATATGTATACATAGGGCTGATTCCTGCTGTTGTATGGAAGAAATGAACACAATGCTGTAAAACGATTATCCTCCAATTAAAAATAGATTTTAAAAAAGGTGTGTTTATTATAACAAATAAAACCATGTTCTCATCACCTAATTTGACAAATGGAAAATTACCAGTAATTTTGAAGGCTCCTTTCTTCTCTTCCTCAAGTCTCTATCCTTCTCTTCCTTCTCTTTATATAGTAAATTATTTCATTTTCTTTGTAATTGAACTTTAATAAGAGGAATCAAACTGTGCTTTTGCTTCTCTGTGCCTTTAACTTTTTCTTAATATTCTTGAGATTTAGCCATGTTATATCTTTTATTGTAGTTTGTTCATTTTAAGTGATAAGCCTCATTTTTAAACACATTGCTTAACAGAGTTTAACTCTTCTAAAGTCGCCAAGGTAATGTTGTTTGGATGCTGAAATATCTCTATTTTCAGTGGCTGCTGGGTTAAATCAGACAATTATTTTACAACTGGTTCGGTTTCCATTTATCAAAACCAGTCCCAGCTATCTCTTTAAAAATTTATGCTTTAATTTTTACTTTTTCATTTAGGTCCTCTTGGGCAGGTGATTTTTTAAGACATTTAGCATCCAAAGTCTTTGTATTCTTCAGTAAGAAAAATGTTTTAAAAACAGAAACCACTTGAGTATCACTATGAGCTTTATTCATCTGTGCTTTAAGTTTGGTCATCAGCTTTTGCTATGTTTCAACCCTTGGCCTGAGGTGGTGGATGAGGGAGAAGGGGAATTATAAGGGCCTCTTTGAACACAGGGCAGGAATTTAAAGAAAGCTTGACAAATCCAAGCCTTCTAGGTACCGTCGGCAGCTCCTTTCCAGGAAGTTTTCTCACTGCTGAAATGTTCTTCAGCCGTGTGCAACTTTCTCCTCTTTCCCCAGGTCCCCAAGGCCAGGTGGTTCACCCCATCCTTCCCCGTGTGGTTCTCACGCTGTTTTCCTTTGCTGTCTGTTTTCCAGTCCCCATCTCCAGGCAGTTCCTCACCCCTGGGTGCAGAGTCTTTGAGCACACCCCTTCATCCTGGTGACCCCGCAGAAGCCTCCACAAATAAAGAGGTAGGATACCATTTTGTTTCCAAAGCCATCAGTCCATTATGTTTTATTCTAATTCTGGTTTATGCTTTACCTGGCCTCCCATAGAGTTGCTGACCCAGATTACCGTAGGGAGAACAATCCTAATCTCTGCAGCATGGAATTCAGTGATTAAAGCTATGCCATCCCATTCAATAGCCACTAGCCACATGTGTCTATTTTAATTCATAAATAAGATGAAAAAGTCACTTCCTCAGGCACACTAGCCACATTTCAGGTGCTCGGTAGCCACATGTGACTAGTGGCTATTGTACTGGAAGCAGAGTTTACAGAATATTTCCTTGATTGCAGAAGATTCTCTTGAACATGGAACATCAAAAACTATTGAGCAGTGAGGTTATGAGCCTCGATGCCATGGCATTACAGTTGCTATGTGGTTTGGGAAGTGGACTGATTTCTTAAATACTCAATTATTTCAGGCCCAAGTAAAATAGCTTTTTAACAACAGGGCAACTGCTTGTCCTGTTTCTCTGGGGTGACTCTTGTTTATACTTGTCGTCCAAGCAGTATACCTGGTGAGCACCCCTTCTCACTCTAAAGCAGTGCTATCCAAGAGGACTCCCTGTGATGCTGGGAATGTTCTGCTTCTGCACTGTCATGAATGGTAGACCCTAGCCATGTGTGCCTCACTAGCCCTTGAGATGTGGCCAGTGGCACTGGGAAACTGAATTTTTCATTTTATTGCATTTTATTTTGCCATTAAATATTCATGCAGGGGAGAAGTATTTTTTTATTAATCTATTCATATTAAAGCAAACAAACACAGGGAGACAGTCTCAGAAATGACACCAACATTAGAATTTAGATTTGAAATATGCTTTGTCCTTCTCTGGTCTTGATCAGGCTTCAGGAACAGGAGTAATGGGGTTACGGTTTCTTCTGGCCCTGCACCCCTGATATTTTATTCATAGTGCACGAATAGGTGAGGACAGATAGCAAGAAGAAAAGCCACAGTGATAATAACAATAATGAGAGTTACCATTTCTTGAGCATTTATAGCATTCAGGCACCAGGCCAAGCAAGTCACATAGTATCTCATTTAAGCATTAAATGACTGCAATGAGGTAGGAATTATTGTCCTCATTTATTAATGGAGGAAGCTGAGAGGTTAAGTAACTTACCTTACGTCCCAGATGTCACAAGTGGTAGGGCCAGGTTTAAAATCCAGAGTTCTGGAGAGCCCAGGCTCTTAACATCACAATCTGTTGTCCCTGGGGTAAAGAGTACTTGCAGGACATACACTGTATGAACAGGTAGTTTGTATGTTATTATTTCAAAGTTCAGGCCTCCAGGCTCTACACACAGTTTGTGTGACCTCTTGAACATCCCAAAGATTTGGCCTTTATCTTCTTGAATGTGTCTCTGTTAATTCTTGAATGTTAAGGATCAACTAATGTTCGTCTCTGTCCACATGTGAGAAAACAAAGGGCTCATCAGACATCTGAATGTTCAGCACTTGATTATTCATCAGATATAATAAGCAAGGCAAATGTGTTAGTTTCCCAGTTCCTACAGGACTTGGCACATGTTTCTGCATATCTTTAGAAATAATGATGAAAATCTTCTTTGTGTGCAATAATTAGAGATTCTTTCATTTCACAAAACTCTTTAAAAAAAAAAGTTTACTACCCCAGAGACTAAAGAAAGCCAGTCACGAGCCCATGAATAGAGAATAAACGAATGAACCAAATGCCCTACGTTGTGACCCTAAAGAAAATGGCAGCTTTTAGCGCTGTAGACTAAAGCAGTTCTTTTGTAGTTTCTGCTCAAATCTGGGCACTGTCCTTGAGATTAGCATTCAGAAAAGTATCCGAATAGCCCAAGAAAATATACATTGGCTTCTTAGTTGTACCTGGAAGCTACACCATTTTGATTAGATGAAGTAAAGCGCTTATTGCCCCTAAATGCTGAGCGCAAGGAGAGGGAAATGGTTGGGGAATAATAATCTTACAGTCTTTAGGCCCTTGTGAAGAAGCTAGCTTTCATCTGCATACAATTTATTTCTTTAAAGCAACAGAGTTTAAGCCAACAGGCACTCAACTGGGCCTGTCTTCTCACTTGAGTAAAGAGAAAGTAAAACTAACATAAAGCATTTTTGAAATTGGAGTTCCCTTTTTCTCCTATCCATATAATCTTGACGTTCACTAGGTGTACATTTTTTCCATAAATGCTTTAGCAGCCAATAACTTTTCTCTCCTGGTGAACTTGGGTCCTTAGTGTCCCTAAACGTGATTCTTTTCTGAAACCAGAAACCCACCTTCTTTGGTATGAGGAGCTCTTTCATCCCAGTGAGCACATCTCCAGCATGTTTACTGAGATTACCCTGCCTTGTGTATTGTGTGGCTGGTGTTGAATTCTTGTCCTTGTCCTGGGTTGATTTTAAAAGCCTTAACAATTTTAAAGTCTTAAAATTATTTCTTTTACTCCCTCCAGTTTTTCACACAACAGTTAACACTACTGTGTTGTGTTTTTTTTAATGTTGTACAAATTTAATTTATCATCCCTTTACCATTCCCATCTTCCAAATGAAGAGCACTGTATAAACTACATAAAGTGCTACGATGTGAAGTTGTTTCCCGTGATATCCCAGCCACCATCCAGGGCCCTTCCCTCTATTAGTCCACTAGGCACCCCAGAGTATTCCATCAATTCAAGTCACCCTACTGAGCAGCTATGTTGTACTAGACAGTCTTGTTCTGAAATCATCACCTAACACCTGGTAGATTCTTAGCAGGGAACATCTTTAGGCTTTCTGAAGATAACCCTTGGCCATGCGGACTCTGATTTTGCCCATTTTAGGGACTCTTCTACACTAGCTCTCGACTCTCCTACAATGCTCACATCATCCTGCCCCAGACTGTCAGCTGCAGATTCTATTACTGGTTGAAGTAGAAATGAATTACCCACTCTTATTCCACCGAGAGTCATCTCTGGGACATTTGCTTGTGAAAGGAACTAAGGGCTAAGTGTTGGTCCTCTGAGAGCGGGCATTTAAACTGTCATCCAGTCAGGTCCAGTCAGGTCCTATAAAGTTTCTAACTGATTATATCCACTTCAGGGATGCTGTTGGGAGACTAACCTTTGCTATGGGGTTTTACTTAATATAAAAAATTCCATTACATAAATCATTATTGTGACAGATTTTTTTAACTGCTTCTTGAACTTCTTTGTTTATTGGGCTCTTATTTTAAGAATAATATATAATACATGGTAACACATAATAATGACTTATGTAATGGAATTTTTAAACTAAAATATACCAGTAAGAGATGAAAGGAAGAGATAAAAAAAAGCCCTAGCAACCATTTTTAGTACAATGAGAGATCAGACCTAAACTACAAATAAAATTTGCCCTGCAAAGACCTAAAGTGGAATAAAATTCTCAAAGGGAATTCTTAATTTTAACATATAATCATATTATTGGTGCCTTTCCTAATCAACAGTTTCTCACTTACACACCTAGATTCTTATAAATATAAACTGAGCCTTTTATTGTTACTGCTGATTATGAATTTTGGTCCATGGATTATTTTTTAAGATAACAAACATCTCTCTGATTGTGGAATGTAGGGTTTTTAGATTATCTAAAATATGAATGGATGGTTCTGGGCTTCAGGTAGCTTTTAATAATGAATGCGTATATTTATTCACACTTTATTTTCTGTAGCCAAAAATGGTTGACAGCTGGTTAATATCTGCCATTGGTGATGTATTTATTTTTCATTTTGCATGGATGGTTGTGTTAATGCATTTTTAATGATGCTTTGCCCTTTTTGAAACCTTTTTGTCTTAATTACAGTCAAGAAAAAGCTTGGCTTCATTCCCAACCTACGTTGAAGGTAAGAGCTGAAAAGGAAATACTAAACTCTGAGTCATTCATGAATCTTTTAGCATTTGAGTATTGGAAGAACTGGGCTGTAAGATACTAGTGGGAAGAAAGGCCACAAAGTCTCTTATTCACAGTCTTCAGTCTTAGAATCTCAGACTAAAACAGCAATAGCCATGAACCTCTCAAAGACCCTCCTCCCTGCCCTTGCTGATTCTGTCCAGAAGACACTGAGGCTGGGGGGTTGGCTGGGGGTTTTGCCTAGCCTAGAACTGGCCATATTGGATTCAAAATCCATGTCTCCTTATCTCCAATCCAGCATACCTCTTGCATTCATCAGGAACCATTCAATTAGGAACAATGTTTAACTAAGGGAGAAGTTTTGGTCCTTTTCATTTAAAAAAAAAAAAATTCCCAGTAATTCCTGTCTCTTGCTTGGGTGAGCTAGTAATGTTAACACTTATCAAGCTCTCTTACTCTGCCAGGTACTGATAACTAATTGAATCTTCAGATTGATCTTGTGAAGTGGATTTTATCATTGTCCCCAAGTTATGCATGAGAACTAGGGCATGGAGCAAGGGTGAGCAGCCGTCCCAAGATCCTGCAGTGAGAATCGCAGAGACAGGCTGGGAACCGGCAGTCTTAACTCTGCCGTTCTCCATGGAATCGATAGTCTGTGCAGGACAGCCACACGCGGTTGCGCAGGTTGTTCGCTGCCCAAGTAGACTCCATCAGCAGGTCTGGTGGGGCCAAAACTCAATGCAGACTAGGCACCACAACCTGAGGTTGGACCACACAGACGGCGCAGCTCCTGATCCTCTGCCGGGGAGGATGGCAGATTATTTGAGGGAGCAGCGGGATGTCATATCCTTGAAGGAGGGTTTTCTGGGTGCCAGAGGATACCCAGATATCGTGTCTGACCTTTAGCTTCTATGTATGTTCCACTGCCCAAGAATAAATTACCTGAATTCATAAAGCTTCCTCTGAACCCTTGGGCCTGAAACCCAGGACAAGCTCATTTCTTTCTTGAGTAACCTGGAAATTATATGCACTGTTTTTGCAAAGATCCAGAGTTCCACAAGAGCACTTGGGGGAGTTTTCAGAAATTTAGAAGCTATTCTTCTTCAAGATTTCCAAGCTCAGCATCAACATGAATGTGAAGATATAATGTGTGTGCTTGTTCACCCATAGAGCAACACAGAGGCATCGCTAGAAAGGAAAGTCTGTAATTCTTTGACTTGGGAGAAATATAACTTTAATTTTTTTAACTTTAAAAAAGTAACACTGGCACTAAGCATAAAATGAAATTATGAAATTATTTTTTGTGAGTGTAATACAGTGACATTTGATTCTAGTCAATTTCCCCAAAAAATAATTGACATAAAATCATATCTCAAATATGTATTTGTTCAGGTCCAATATTTCTCTCTCTCAGCTTCTTGACATTTATATAGTCACTTAAATATCACCTGGATTACTCTTAAACATATCTGCATATTCATACTTACTGTGGTTGAAAAGGGACCCTTTTCAGTAAAGAGAGCTAAACCCACCAGTGAATATATGATAGTGGAAGTCCCATAGAGAAGATGTTTCCCTTTTTTTTTTCTTCTAACATTCATTATTTTCACAAAAGGAAGTTTTTTAAAAGTTGCTATTCTGGAGGAGGTCTTTTTTTGTCTTGGTTGTCAAAAATGATTATATTTATGTAACATTATAAATCCATCACTGGGATTTATGATGATATTTTACTTTTTACAAGACATAGTATAGGTCCAAACTTGTCCGTGTATTATTTTACTTTGGCAGTGCTTCCCTGCTATATAACTAAAGTTATACATTATAAATAGCCTGAATTCTGCTCATATCTGTAAAACCTTCAGGGTAGGAAGCATGTATCTTTCAAGAAGCACATAAATGATTGGTATGTGGTAGAGGCAGGTTTGGCTGTATCCCTCACTCTTTGTCTAGAAACCTTTATCAGAAATATTGAGAATCAGAAAACTTAACAGGTTTCCTGATTTAATTTCTACACAGATGCTTTGTGAAGACCTTTCCTAAAACATTGTTAATTTCTTTTTTTCACCAGCACCATGGTTTTAGGAAAATGAATAGATTACGTTGTCTGTACCCTGATAAGTAGCTTATCATGGGAACCAGCTGTTTAAACTCAAGATGAGCTTCATCTGTAAGGACAAAAATAAAAATCATTCCAGATTAGCTCTTCAAGAGGAAAAAGCAAATTGTTTCCATTTTCAAGTTGTCTAATTTAAGACCCTGAGTTTTTAACAGTGGGTTAAAAAGTATATTTTAGTCTTTCCAAATATGGCATTCAAGCCAAAGAAAATACTTGTGTTTTAATGGCAGAATTAAAATGCCTTTCTCATCACATCTGTTGTAAAGTTATGTATTAGTCCCAAATACGTTTTAATTTCCAATGGGATTTATAGGTGATCATGGTGAGAATCAAACTTCCCAGGTGACTCAGTGGTAAAGACCCTGCCTGCCAATGCAGGAGACATGGGTTCTGTCCCTGGATCAGAAAGATCCCCTGGAGACGGATATGGCAGTCCACTCCAGTATTCTTGCCTGGAAAATCCCGTAGTCAGAGGAGCTTGATGGACCACAGTCCATGGGATCGCAAAAGAGTCAGACACAACTGAGCAACTAAACAACAACAATGGTTAGAATCAAATGCCTCCGTTTTAAATATTTAAAAGTTTGATTTAAAAGGCTGGTGAATGAGAACAGAAAATTCCAAATTTCCTCAGAATTGATATGTATGTGGATGCATGCTGGGCACGTTACAGCTGGTAAGTCAACAAGGTTTTTAGCACGAGACCACAACTCAGGGGTCATGTTACCTCTCTTGCAGACTTCAGGTTAGAGGCTTTTTGGGGAATCCAGACATTCTGCAGCAAATACTCATTTCTCTGATTTATAATATTTATTTCCCCCATTATGGATAAAATGGAGGGGGTAGGTGATATGAATCAGTGGCAAGCAAAGGAACTGCTGTATGATGAGGCTGTCTAACAAGATGGCCTTCTGCTCATCTAACCATTTGTCCAGCAAACATTTATTTGATACCCACTGTGTGACAGACGCTGACTAGACACAGGAAAGCCAGAGGTGATGGTATTGTGCTCCTGTCCCAAAAAACAACATCATTTATCAGTGAATTTTATATTTCATGTTTAAATAAATATTCACATTGTTTCTCATAGTAAATGGTCTGGGTGAAGTACATTCCTCTCAGGAAGAATTTTCCCTTCTGTTAGAAAGTGAAGACATAGTGAAGGGGGATCAGAGAGATGCCTTAGACTCTCAGTAGATTCACCTGCTCAGGGGTGTTGGGAGCTGACCACCTGTGTTGGAGGCATGTAGCAGAGGGGAGGGGGCGTGATGGGGGGCGCACGTGGCCTCACTCACCACCATGGTCTGTGTGTTACAGTTCCTGGACCTTGTGACCCTGAGGACTTGATTGATGGAATCATTTTTGCTGCTAATTACCTTGGCTCCACCCAGCTGCTCTCAGACAAAACTCCCTCCAAAAACGTGCGAATGATGCAGGCCCAGGAAGCAGTAAGCAGGATCAAGGTGAGGGGGTACTCTGTGTTCCGAGGCGGGTGGTGGGCCAGTGTGGGCAGCTGAGTCATCCATAGTGATCACCCCGCACCACATGTCCCAAGTTTAGCGGAGAAGGTTGAGGTGACATGACAGGCAGCGCTTATACCTGTACCTGCCAAAGTTCTCAGTAGAAAAAAGATTTCCAAAACGTGTTTGAGTTTTGATGCATAAATGCTATATAATTTGGTTGTTCTTAATGGCCAGCCTTGAGGAAGAAGTACATACGATTATAAGCTTTGGAAAGGTGGAAAGATGAGGAAGGACAGCATTTTAAATACTATCTTTCCAATATGTGAGCACTGTATCACTGTATTTCTGCTGGCAGAGATCAGTGCCTTAAACATTCATGCTACAGTGTGGTTCAAACTAGGTGTCACTGCTTTTGAACCTGTCGATCCTGTTCAAGCTAGATTGAACTGGCTTCAGTTCAGTTCAGTCATTCAGTCGTGTCCAACTCTTTGCAACTCCATGGACTGCAGCACACCAGGCCTCCCTGTCCATCACCAACTCCCAGAGCTTGCTCAAACTCATGTCCATTGAGTCAGTGAGGCCATCCAACCATCTCATCCTCTGTCATCCCCTTCTCCTCCTGCCTTCAGTCTTTCCAAGCATCAGGGTCTTTTCCAGTGAGTCAGTTGTTCACATCAGGTGACCAAAGTATTGGAGCTTCAGCTTCAGTCCTTCTAATGAATATTTAGGACTGATTTCCTTTAGTATTGACTAGCTTGATCTTGCAGTCCAAGGGACTCTCAAGAGCCTTCTCCGATACCACAGTTCAAAAGCATCAATTCTTCAGTACTCAGCTTTCTTTCTGGTCCAACTCTCACATCCATACATGACTACTGGAAAAACCATAGCTTTGACTAGATGGAACTTTGTCGGCAAAGTAATATCTCTGCTTTTTAGTATGCTGTCTAGGTTGGTCATAGTTTTTCTTCCAAGGAGCAAGCGTCTTTTAATTTCATGGCTGCATATCACCATCTGCAGTGAGTTTGGAGCCCAAGAAAATAAAGTCTNGGTGAGTGATCACACCATCGTCATTATCCGAGTCGTGAAGATCTTTTTTGTATAGTTCTTCTTCATATTTTTTCCACGTCTTCTTAATATCTTCTGCTTCTGTTAGGTCCATACCATTTTTGTCCTTTATTGTGCCCATCTTTGCATAAAATGTTCCCTTGGTATCTATAATTTTCTTGAAGAGATCTTTGTTCTTTCCCTTTCTGTTTTTTTCCTCTATTTCTTTGCATTGATCTGAGGAAGGCTTTCTTATCTCTCCTCTCTATTCTTTGGAACTCTGCATTCAGATGGATATCTTTCCTTTCCTCCTTTGCCTTTCGCTTCTCTTCTTCACTGAGCCATTTGTAAGACCTCCTCAGACAACCATTTTGCCTTTTGCATTTCTTTTCCTTGGAGATGATTTTGATCACCACCTCCTGTACAATGTTACAAACCTCTGTCTATAGTTTTTCAGGCACTCTATCAGATCTAATCCCTTGAATCTGTTTGTCACTTCCACTGTATAATCGTAAGGGATTTGTTTTAGGTCATACATGTATGGTCTAGAGGTTTTCCCTACTTTCTTCAATTTAAGTCTGAATTTGGCAATAAGGAGTTCATGATCTGAGCCACAGTCAGCTGAACTGGCTTGCTTCACCTAAAAGAAAGCATTTGATCAGATCTAAACCAAGTCTAATCTAAACCAAGTCAGTGCAAGGCTAACTCGGTTCAAATCAGTCATAACCTGTTTGCATCTGTTTTGTCAAGATTTAAAAGGAGCGAGCTTGTTTGATCCCTGAAACCACTTTTGTCTAGTTTAAGTCATTCACAGCTAGTTTGAACCAGCCAAACTAGCTTGAACTGGTTTGAACTGGTCTGAACTGACCCCATGGAAATGCAGCCTCTAGATTATCCACCACGATGCTAGTGCCCCTAGAACCGTGGACAAGCCAGTGGTGACAGGGACCCTAATGGGTGCCATTGTGCCATTCAGGTGCTGCCAGTACCTAGAACCCCTGAGGCTGTTTTCACCTAGAGCCACAGGCATTTCATCACCACTGAAATCAGAACTGGGGACTTCCAGTGAGTTGAAATAGCTTAGGACTTGTGAGGTTTGGTTTTTTCCAGTTTCCATTGGTCAGAATCAACTCCCTTCTCAAGGGACTGTTCCCTTTTCGTGTCTTCTGTCTCACACATCCCCAGGCTTCATCCTGGGCTTTGTTATGGCAGTGTGGAATGAGAAGCAAGAGTCCTTAACTCTCTTCATCAAGGGAAGAATATTTGTTGAGCAAATGCACCTGGGAGGGAGGAAAAATAGTGATCTATAAGGTGAGAACTTTACCCTCAAGTTCAGCAGCACAAATGAGAAGTGAATGAAGCCAGCAAATGTACAAGGGGGTGCCAGAGGAGGAGAGAGGGGTGTCAGGATCAAAAGGCCCCAGGAGTGCGGGGAGCCCTCTTGAGGTGAGACACTGCCTGGAAGCCTGAGGGAGGAGAGGGCAGCAACCACGGAGGTCGTGGAGGTCACACGGAGCAGGGGTGCTACTTCACGTCCTTCTACCCCCGCTCCCACACCCTTGCTCCAGGGCTGATGCTCGTCTCACGAACTTGCCCGGGCTCTGCTATGCCCTGAATAGTAGACAAGGTCAGCGCTGGCCCTTCCCTTTGTTAGGTAGTTAGAATAGGGAAAAAGAGTCCAAAATGGCGGTGGCTAAAAGACCTGGAAGGGAAAGCCCGCGAAAATAGAACAAAGGAAGGTCCGAGGACCGGAGTGAAAACCTCAGGTAAAACCAACAACACTCCTGGCTGACCCAATTTACATAAGGCAGGCCCAGGGACAGAAACATATAAAAAGGGGAGCCAAAGCCCTCTTCCCCCCTTTTGCTCCCTCCCTCTCCCCCGCGCGGTGGGGCGATCGTCTCTTCGGGTCTTTGGATCAATGTGTCCTCATGCCTCAAAGATGGATTTTCCTGCTATAATCTAAATAAATAGAGCTGTAACACTGATTTATTTAAGAGCTGTAACACGGTCCGTTCGAGACCTGAGAGCTATAACACGGTCTGTCCTCCAAAAGCTGTGACCCGCCAAGGGGCTTCAGTGTCCATCACTCCAAACTTTTCTTGTGACGAGACAAAGAACCGAGGAGCATACACTCGTGTGACACCTTCATTACCCGTCACTGCACAGGAAGCCCATGGTGCAACTTTTGATAGCATTATTGACAATTTATTGGCTTCCCTCGTGGGTTAGATGGTAAAGAATCTGCCTGAAATTGCAGGAGACACAGGTTTGATCCCTGAGTCAGAAAGCTTGCATGGAGAAGTGAATGGCAACCCACTCCAGTATTCTTGCCTGGAGAATTCCATGGACAGAGGAGCCTTGTGGGCTACAGTCCATGGGATTGTAAAGAGTCAGATACGACTGAGCGACCAACACTATTATTACTACTACTGACATTTTAGGATTTAGGATGTATGATCCAGAGAGTAATTTACAGCTATATCAAGTCCCACCCCTACCTCCAGAGGTGCATCTTACCTTGTGACTCCCACCTAGACCACTTCCTGACAGTGTATCAGACAGACCCTCCTACCGTCTGGGTCCTTCAGATGTAATAATGCTGCTGGTAGAACCTCAGGTTTCTGTTGAGCTGTCTATCAGAGCTTGTTTGATCTCCTTTTACTCTCTCCCTGAACATAAAGAGGTGACATTAATACCTGGAGATGTCCCCACAGTGTTTTCTATGTTACTTTAAGATCTCCCAGGTGCAGAGTTCAAGAATGCACAAAACTCCCTGAGAACAAGCTGCTTTTCAGGCACTATCCTGCCTTATCTCATACTGGAGAACTTGAAAAACACAATCTTTAGGGACAGAGTTCTGACTCCTCCTATCCCCAGGGTTACCAGATATATTATGATTATAATTTTGTTACATCAGCATTTGTTAAGTAAACCCCCAGGTGAGCAGAAGACTACAAGAGAAATTGAGATGGAGAAGTTTAAGACTCAGAAGTCCTGGAGGAAGCACCTGCATACCTAGAGAGGCCGCGTGGGGAGGTCTGGAAGGACCTGGGCACGTGCCTTTATTGGGGTCCATGGGTGGAATGCTCTGAGGTTCCCAGATGAAGGCCAGATTGGTCAGTGCGAACCAAAATGGGGTTTTGGTGAGCTCAGTGGAGGTATTAGCTAAGGGACACCTTGGGGAAGGCACTGGGCAGCCGGGGAAGACAAGGGCTGATGAGTGGGTGCGGGGTCCCTTTAGGAGCTGACATGTGCATGTGACTCTGCAGGCTGCTTTCCACAGCATTTGCGTGCCTGAAGGGGCTAATGTCAGTTTAAGGTTCAGGCAGGCTGCTTGGCCAAACAGAATGGATGCTGAGGCAGTAATACCATGGAGTAACTTAGCTGAATTCTTGACCCAGTGCTTAGTTTCCTGGGTTAATAATGGTACTGTTGGCTCCCCCTGGGTCAGTGGAAGTACAGAGACCCTGGATGGTTCTCTGATAGACAGGGACCACCACTAAAGGGGATATTTGGAAAAGAGTCATTGCTTTTGGTTGTTGCAGTGTCTGGGACATTTTTATTGGCATGAGTGGCTAGAACCAGAGATCCTTGCCACCCTGTTATGTCCCAGACAGAGCCACGTGACAGAGATTTATCTCCTCCAGATTGCCAGAGCACCCGTCCCTGTCAAGGCACACTACCAGGTCCATTCAGGTGAATCCTCCAGAACAGAGTGATAGTCCACCCCAGAAAGAGTACTGAGGAGCCCTGAGACCAAGTGTTGCATGTTGCTTTGAGATGAGTTTTTCCTGGTTTCTGTTTATGGACTTCCTGATGGGTCATCCTTGAGTCCCACAGCTAGAGTCTGTCTTTCTGCTGCCCTGAGACACGTGTGTGTTCAGTGACCTTACAGGGACAGCAGGCACAGACTCAACACCCAAACGTAGGGCAGGTCTTGGGCAAGACCCCAG